GTGACTGTTAAAATACTTTTCATAAAAAAAAATGGATTTTCGAATAACTGTTTTTTTGCCGTTCCAACGCTTTCATTCCTTTTTAAATTGCATCGCAAGGTTTAATACATTATTTTCTAATTAGTTGTAACATTAACGCAACACATTTAAATAAAAAAGAATTTATCGTTAATATTATGAAATTACTGCTTCAAAGGTTAACACTAAATGTGATATTTTATCTTTGTTCGTAATGTCTATCAATTAGCACTTTCACATTAACAGAACAAAACTAATTTGGAGAGTTCAATTGATCTCACAGGTAATAAATGAGAAGTAATGTATCGATATTAGAGGTTCGCTGTGTCAACCTGTGAGTGCTATTCGGTCAATACCTAACCCACATTTAGGCAATCTGTTTCCTGAAATGGCGACAGCTTGAACTCTAGAGAAATTAACACATTGATCAAATATCCCTTGTCGCACATTAGCAGCGATTAGCGCTTAATTGGTGAGCAGTTCCGATACAATTAGCATCAGAATTATTACAAGCGTTAGACTGAAAGGTTTAAACTTTACTTATCCATATTTAAAATATATTGAAACTGACCTGAGGACACATTTTGTTCATATTGTGTTGAAGAGTGTAGTTTGAATTACCATCCAAAACTTGATAAAATGGGCAACTTTAATTTAAAAACTAAAAAAATAATAATAAGGAGCAAAATTAATTGCTTTTCAGCATGAAATCCAGATATATCTCATCATTTTATAGAAATTAGAACTATTTGATTATATGAGACTATACATGCATGAACATAATGATCAGTTTAATAATTGCAAGAATTTTATGTAAGTGAACGCCATTTAACCAGAAAACATCTGAACGTGTAAGGTATATTTTCAAATGTAATTTTTCATGCTAACTTATGAGGTAAAATTCTGTTTATTAAGATTAAACTTTTTTGAAGTAATAAGAGGTTTCTTCATAATAAAATCATTTCAAAGCAGTAGTTTTGTATTAAAAACAATTTTTAAGTATTACCCTTTTTGATACACTTATGGTCTTATTCGACAAAGCGAGAAAAAAATATATGCGGACTAATACTTTACCTACTTGTATAGTAATGTTAGATGCTTAAAAAAGTGCAAGTAAAAAATTGCACTTTTTGTGCACAAAACCCTATTAATTGTTAACTATTTATCTTTTATCTCATTTCATCTCATTTCTATTTATCTCATTTTTTTCAACATGAAAAATAACATTTGAAAATATATTGAAATTATTGGATTTATTTCCTTTTGTGTTGTCTCATTCAATTCAACATAACAAAAACAATATTAAACAATACCTCACTTGTTTAGATAGCAACATCAGTTGTGCAAATAGGTTAAAGTACAATTTTGTACTTTTCGTGCTTTTCTGAACTATTGGCCAGATCCTCTCGAGACTAATTTAAATGATATCAGAGTGAAAAAATACATCGGAAATAATAACTCACTTCCCTGTCTAGAAGAAATTGAATTCCGCTCTCACATATCACCCCAATTTCAATTAAGAAATTAGAGTAGGTGAGATAGCAGGTATCATTTGTAATAATATTACAAAGATTTCTATAGGAAAAAAAATCTTGGGTAGTAATTTCTCCGAAAAGAAGTCTAATTTTACTGACAAATAGTCAGATTAAAACAATTTTATCTGTATTTTATTTTAGCATCAGCATTGAACAGTTGGCGCATATCAGATATTTACTGTTTAACAGACTATCCCTCTTCAAAACATCTAGTCTTGTAATTTAGAACCTAACTCAGATGACCAGGGAACTCCAGGTTCTAACGTTGCGGCATTCTTACCATCTTAGAGGACATTTTTGGTAAAACTAATTTATTGTTGCGTTATAAAGGGATGGAAACTACGAAACAACCCAGATTTAATCCGAATGATGAAGGTCTGTAATAACCACCCGTTGACCATTGAGGATATTTTAAGACCGAACTGTGGTCGGTGCGAGCTAAGAACATCGCGCAAATCCGCAAATTATGGTTGAGATTCGATCCTGATCTACTTGAAATCATAGTTTTGGATTTAATGATACTTTTAAATTGGTAAATATATACATTAAAATTTTTACAGGGAGATTCCGTGTGGAATCAACAATTTCATATTAAGATTTCCTACCTATAAATACAATATGTTTTTTTAACAGTTATATAATTTAATAAGGCATGTTCTGGATAATACAATAAACTTACCTTGTAATTGTTAGTTTAAGTCCCTTTTATTGCCTTATAATTGAAACCAGACACCAATTTTTATGCTTTATGTGTCAATAAATATTAAATGACTATTCTTTAACTCCACATTCTGACACTGCGTGCAAATTAATAACTACAATCTTTGAATGTGAGAGATGATGGTTTCATATTGTCTAAAATTATTGAATTAATCATGAAATGTATGGTTCATTGTTAATAAAATAGTAGGAAAAAAAGGAAACATAATATACAAGAATCTCATGAATTTGTCTAAATTCTTAAAATATATTAAAACTTTTATCTCATATTATTATATAACAATTACGTTAAAAATAGTTTCCTTCATTTATACTTCCGGTATCGTTTCTTTCATTTATACTCCTTGTATAGTTTATTTCATTTAGATTTCTTATATTACTTACTTATCCTCTTCATGGCGAAATAGCATAGAAGGCCTCAAAAAAGCCTTTTTCTAAAGTCTTTTTCTCCACACACGCCTATGTGTACACTTCTTGTATAGTTTCTTTCATTTATACTCTGTGTATAGTTTCTTTTACTTATATTTCTTCTTACATGGTTTCTTTCATTTATACTTCCTGTATAGTTTTTTTTTACTTATACTTCGTGTATAGTTTTTTTTTACTTATACTTCTTCTATAGTTTCTTTTTTTAATACTTCTTGTATAGTTCTTTTTATTTATACTTCATTTTCTTTCCTATACAAATTTAAATTTTGTATAGAAAGAGTAGCAAAGTAAAAATTTACAATCAATTACTGTGCTTTGTATGCTTTTTGTAACGATAGTTGCATATTTTTTTGTAAAATGTAATAAATATATCCAATTAAAATAAAATTATTTTTGTCAAATTTAAACAAGCATGTTTTGTTCATTAATTGTAATTTACAATAGAAAACAATACATATACCTATATTAATATTTATTAAAATATTAAGATTTTATTGAAGTTGACAATTAATATGTTAATTAAGAAAATAGTAAAGTAAAACTCAAAAGTCTTGAAAAGTAGATTTTTATTCAAAAAGTACAAAAATAGTAATGTTTCAACAAGAAAATAATAATTTTAATCAGCACTTGAACCAACACAAATGAATAAATTAACTTATTCAGTCAAAACATATTCAGTCATATGAATTCTTATCTGTATTAATTATTTTTATTGAATAAAATATACAGTATATACCTGTATATACAATATAGTATAACTGTACAGCATGTTATGCAACAGAATTAAATATGTCTGTAGTATTTGCAGCTTATGCTAACAGACTAAACAATGATTTTTATATTCACAATCATGGCTTACACTTTCTTCGATCAGTGGAATTACTCCAATAATTCAAATAAGAATCTAAATTTGTTAGAAGATTTTGGTAAAAATTAACACTTCCTGAAATTTTTAACTGAAATAAACTTTTAATAATACCAGCGGTGTTAGGATTTTGACTTATTCGTCCCCAATTTAGCGCCATACAGTGCTTCGAATTTATTTTTATATAAAAATCACAAAAGTTTAGAATGAGCAATGCTTTATTTCAGATAATTTCTATTTTTTTACCCGCTGGCTTAAATTAAACTGAAAAAATATTCTAGCAAAAAAAGTCATGTGTGTATACTAGTATTTTCAAGAGTAAAACAGTAATTCTGGTATTTAACATTGTAACTTACAGTGTTTAATCATTTGATTTTTTTTTATTCATAGTTGTAATGGGTAATCGGAAATTCTGAGATTTAAAGTTATAGTTCTCATTACGCATTTATTTAGCAAAAATTCAACTTTGAAAAATAATTTAACATCAAAGTAGTTTTGACGCCAAACTATTCTCAACTACTAAAGCCAAATAAGAACCACTATTCTACTACTCTTCTGCTCGTATCATTAAATGTACCTTTCATTTGGTAATTTTAAGATTTTGTAAAGATGTCTTTTACCAAATAGAAAAGTAATATACCTTATAGTTTGAAATCAATGCTTTTTCTTTCACTTTATTGAAAATGGAGTCACAGGGTAGAAAAAATATGGATGGCGTAATTTTCAATTACGTCGCCTAACTATTTCTGATTATTCCTCTTCCTATTACGATGGAATTATTTTTTTGTTTTTTTAAGGTTATAATGAAGTGCAAAAGGGTATGAATAATTCTTTCAATTATTTAGTCAAATAATTGATATCTGTGGCCTCGATTTTATGTGTTGAATAATGGTATTTAGTAAATCGGCATAGTTTCACAAAATCAAACTTAATTCTATCAAATGTGATACAAAAATTTTATTATAAAACAAAACTTTTTTTTATAATTCTTCAAAAATTCTCGCAACAGCCCCATTGTGGGCCGGGGAGATCATGGAGTGTAAGTCTCCACAATTTGATAAAAAAGGGCAAGACTGTGCCGATGTTGCCAGCACTGCGCAAAGGCCGCCTTTACTTCCCAGACCAGCTGGTACCTACTGATCTGAAGCTGCATGGACTTTCAGCAACCACTGGGGATAGAATGCCAGTTCTTCACAATGGCAGTAGCGATAATAAATATTAAAATATGGAGGATATCAACAAACAACAGTTCGGCCCAGGACGGGACCGAACCTACGATCAAGAGGTTGTGATTCAGGTGCTTTGACCACTGTACATACAGTAATAAAGTGGAATTGAAAGCAATGAATAAACTTTTGAAGCAATGATTTGGAATTTGTCCATTTTCATTATTTTACATCCGCTTCAATGGTTCCTAAGTTGTTTCCTCTCCCTCCCGAAGTTTCGTTTGTTTGAAAATAATGAAACATTTTGAACAGTATTTCAAAAATTAAATTTATGGTCATCATTTTCGAATTTCTTAACGTATCAGTTTTTATGCCTCTCTATGTTTTAGACGTAAACTGGTTAAACACAAACACGAAAACAACAAGTTCTTATTTTCGTATAAGATGTCACCGAATAAAATAGTTATTTTTATTATTTGAGAAACAAAAAGTAAACACTAGTGGTCGCAAAGAAGGATAAATCATCTTTTGCTTTATAAAATTGAAAAGCAAAACAACATCACTGAAGAGCACTGCTGGTACAACCTGGAAAACGGGAGAATCTTTCACTGAATACATGGAAGATAGATAAAGCTGAATATAGCAATGAATAACATACTTCCCAAATTTACAGTCCAGTAGAGTAGCTTTCTCAATATTCCAAATTTAGTACTAAACAGCATATCTGCTAAAATCATATTTAATTTGTAATTTCAGCATAAGTAATTATCAAATTATAGTATTTTTGGTGCTCTTGTAAAGCTTTTTTGCTTATTCTTTTATTAAGATACATTTTATCATATTCTTGTCCGTATTATAATAAAATTTTAAGTGTTTTGAGAGTATCAAAATGTTATAAAAAATAAATACATCATTTCATTTGTGTTGGTTATAATAATTTTTTTACTACTTTCAGCTACTTTCACAAGCTCTCCACATTTAGAAATTGAGCAAATTCTCTCACATCTTGTACGTTTTCCTGAAAATAAAATATAAAAAACTTACCTCACATTTTATATGACATTTTATAAATATAAATTAATATCTCTTATAATTATATATATATATATATCAGATACCCCTGGTACTTACCTCCTAGTTCAATAATATATAGCATAAAAAGTTTCAAAGTATCATGTATTATTCTTTTTTTTAATACCCGTAAAGCAGAAAAGGCATTTATTTGTAAATTTTTAAAAATTTTCTATATAATGATAAAACATTTTCTATTTATTAATATATAATTTTCTATAAAATTTTCTATATAATTGTCCATATATTTTAAATATTTTCACTGAAAATATTGAACTTCAATTAGTTTATTTGAATTAAAACTTAAAAATTATTAAAATTGTTTTGAAAAATTCAAGTATGCACTTTATTTTTGCATTGATGACCACCTTATTATTATTTATTAACAAATATAAAAATAAAAATCATATTCTACCTCTGTACTTCCAACTTCCAACGTCATCAACTTCTGTGTAGGGAAAAAGTTTTATTTTTGTATTTATATAAACAATTCATTTTACGTAACCTATTAACGTCTTACTGATAATAATATTTTAAAAGCACTATTTTAAACTTACAGGGAAACCAAACGCTCAACTCAATAACATATTACAATTTCCTCCTAAATAATATTCCTTACATATATTATAAGGTTTCTGAAACTTTTCTTTGACATGGAATAAACTTGAATCATATTTCCTTATAAATTGAACGACAAAAAAAATGTAGTAAAGTTTATGAAAAAAAAAAACTTTTCCAGTGATATAGTTCCTGCAAGAAACATGCTCCAATATTTCAAACATAAAATGTTCAGAAGTAATATTTTATTTTAGCCATATTGTTCATATACGTATGTGATAAGCTTACAAAAATATAGTTTATTTGGTTACTTTTTTTTCAATTATTAATAGCAACAATATTTTCTTTTTTGAGAACTGCATAGTTATAAATTTGTTTTATTATTTTAAAAGCTGAAAATGTTTCAAAAGATATTGATTAGGAAAAGTTTTCTTCAGGTTTTCATGTTAATGGAATTATTAAAATGAATTTATCAATAATCATCTCATTTGAGTGAAAAAATCCTCACGAATCTAATTTAAAAAAACCAACTTGGAATTGTTGATTATAAAGTACGTATGTCAACCATCTTTAAATAAAAAATTAAAAACATTATAGCTCAAATATCTTGGTTAAATATATTAAATTTAAATCTCTACAGTTGCCGCTTATTAAAATTGAAAAAAAATTGCAATACCATCTACCTGTATATCCAAGAGTTTGCCATTAGTTTTCTTCGATGCGAATTAATTAAGTTTCACCTCTTGCAGATACATTAATCAGTGTATTCTTGAAATAGAGTAATCAATTCCTAGAAAGGCAATTATCATTACTCGAAAATGGTTCGTTTGTTCAAAAAAATTTTTATCAGAAAAATACTTTAAAAAATTAACAAGAAAATGATAATTATATTCTTCATTTATTTGAAATTCTGTGCATTCCAAACATTATAAACACACAAAATGTTTAAACAGTATAATTGAACTGGTAACGCAGATAATTAAAACCAAATTTATTATTTTAGAAAGTGATTTTTTAATTAAATATATCTTTAAAAATCACCCCAATTTGACATTACAATAACTTTATTTAATAAATTAAAGTTTGTTGCATAAAATAATTTCAGTTATTTGTTGTTTTAGAATGTAATAGTTATTAATCATCCTAACAATTTATTAAATACAAAGCGTAATTAAATTTAGTAAACGCAATTAGTTGAAAGAATTGGTATTAAACTCAAAAATTTAACGTTTTTAAATACGAAATATCTTTTTAACAAAACCTCTATGAGAGATTACTGCCATTTTTTAAAATCATATCAATTTTGCCGCATGAGATGTATATTTTATGCAAATTAAGACTAATAAAATTAGTAATTCTTATTGAGAAATCTATTATATTTTCGATATAATTACACTATGTTGATACATTAATATTTTATTAGATAAATAAACCAATTTACTTATAATATAATCCAAATTACTTATTCACTTTCATAACTAGGAATCTTATTTTTATATGTCTCATCCCTTTGAGAACCACAACTAAAAAACTGAGAAGCTGAAAAATAATTAGTTTAGGCATATGCTATTTTTTTTTTATTTCTTTCCATACCTCCAGACACCAATTATCTTTTGCATCATGTATCTAAAAGTAGGTAAAGAGCAAATATCATACTAATTCTATTATAGATTTTGTTGTATAAATCCATTTATGACATACTGGTTAATAAGCCTTGATTGGGATTCTATTAACTACAGTAAAAGAGAATAAATGATCGAAAAATAAATCTGAAAAATTTTACTTACTTTAACATGCGCTGTATACAGAAAATATGTATAATTCTGGATATATATATTAGCATGAATATTCACGCAACAAAACAATATGGAAGTCTGTAAGATTGTACGTATTGGACGCCTCGGCAAATCATGGCATTGCGATGCATCTTGCAACCTAAATTAGTAATTTGGTGATTAGTATGTTGTTTTTTTAGTGCTTCAATTTAAAAAATAACTATCAATACGTTCAATTTAGAGACGTATTTTATAGTTGCATTTTAAACTAACATATTATATTTTATGACTAAAATTCACAGAGTTGGTAAAATAGAAAGTTAATGCGAAGCTTGAAAATAAAAATTTGAAATTGTGTTATGAATTTGTGTTGTTGAATTTGAATTAATGGAATCCTGCTGCTATCTTTATTTACTTTTGTTAAAATGTAGTTGACTATATTTAAGATTTTTAAACAAAAAATAATTATGCTCTCATTGTATATTTGCAGTTATAACTATAGTTCTTTTAGAATTGTATTTTCAACGTTTAGATGTTGGTCATACCTAAATTATTCCTAGTAGCAGGCCAGCTAAATAGTGATTATAGGTCTAAAATCTCTTACATGCAATCACTAATCACTAAGATGGGCTGTAGTGGGTGATATCGAGATTTCCTACTCCATGTAACGCAAATTGTTAATTCAAAAATTACCTCATAAATATTAAGTGACCAGCATGATTGACCAGAAACACTAGCCATATTGATAAGAATAAATCTAAACTAACATGTCTCGTAATCAATAGACCGATGTGAAAATATTATTGATATAATGTAACCAATTTAATATCGTATTTGAAGGCTTGATCATTTTTTCAACGTGATTAGCAAAATAAAATAAAACGTCCGGACATTCAGCAGTATGAATGTAAAATAGCTCTTATGCAAAAATCTTTTTTTTTTTAATAAATTGATTTAATATAAAATAGTAGCGAAAACGTAAGTCAATTGCAAACAATTTAACAATTTTGCTTATATTTACGACTTATATCTAATGGATTTTAGTGCAATAAAAGTGTTTCTTTATACCCCTAGTGTCTATCTAACTTCAATGGGAAGTCATAGAAAAAAGAAAAAAAACTCCGGGATAAGGGTAAATTGCTTTTCTTTATAACAATAAGGATTTACTGAACGAATGATAGCCAATTCTTATACCGTGCTGTTAGTTTTCTAGTTATTAATTATGATAACATTTCACAACTGCATGGACTCTTACCCGAAGTTGTTAACGAATTTCGAACTTCGGAGTTGCTTTTCAAGATTTCTTTAGTTTCCATCTGAAGTCTAGGCTAGTTCTCAAATTGGCTATGAAGTCGCAAAAACTGATGACTTATGTTAAAATGCAGACCTTAAGAATATGTTTGTGTTATAAGGGGTCTAATGAAAGTTTATTGATGACGTGTGTAACAAGAAGGCAATACGACAGATTATAATTGTAAAACAAGTATGAAGCTACATAGACACCAATNGAATAACCTAGATATTATATATACTCGTATATTCATCTTATGTGGCACTACACACTCGAGTATTTCAATATATACTGGTAATACTGTATTACCAGCTAAATACTCGTTCTTCGTACGGGGTGAAAAAAAGCATCATTTAATCAGTTCTAAGCAACACTAAAAAATCGGGCAAATACTTTGAGACAAATACTGATACAAATAAAAAGTTAAATGAGTCCAATGTTTTTTTTTATTTTTTATTTATTACTATATTCTGCCCTTCTTGGAAACTTTACGCTGTAAGATCAACCCGTACGGATGGACGGGTATTCAGCTAGTGCAGAATATGCCATACTCAAGTTGGGGGCTCTAGTGGTGCGTAAGGAAGTACAAAAACACTTAAGGGAGTGCGTTCTTTTTTTATCTTATCCTACAAAGATGGAAATTTTTTTGAAACTTCTGTTGCCTACTATACTAAAATATTCCCAACTCATACGTATTGCTATTTGTGTAATTCAATGGCGGCCAGTTTAACTATAATTAGTTTGGATATTTGTCTTGCATTTTTTATAATTATATACACTTTTAAACTACCTACCATGCTTAATGCACTGAGAGGACTTTCAATTCAACTTTTACGCCGGGACTTCATCTTTACAGCACTGTATCTGTGTATTTCTCACGAATATATTTCGGAGAGGGAGAATCCTTCTTATGGTAAATTGATTCTTCTGAGATTCGACTGGTGTAAAATACTGAAAAATAAAATGTTTTAAGGAAAAAAAAATCATAAAAATCCTTCTTCTGCTTAAACTCATAAGAGAAGTAATAATTATCATCTTTAAAAAACATTATGAACTGTTTTAAAATTTACTCTTTTTTGTTTTATGGAAACATATAACGTGATATGTATATGTACCCCTACGTAACACCTAGATAAGCCATTAACATGCCAAGTACGCCAAAAGTGCTTTGGCAAGGTATGCGGTAAATGTACCGGTGAATTTTATTACCGATAGTATCTTTGATGGATAGGTTCTTTGATTTTCTTAACGTGTCTGTTATATTTAAAATTGAACGACAGAGGATATGAGCAATGTTGTAGCCAAGTATGGAGAATATGGTTCACTATAAATCAGATTAGAAGTTTAGGGAAACTTGGGTCTAGTAAGAGCTAAACCAACTATAACAGGATTAAATCCACGGTGGAGCAGCAAGCAAACAGAGTTCATGATTTCAAGTCGAGGGGTTAGAGCAAAAGTTATGTCTGCAAGAAACGAAAGTTTGAAATTCATAAGATTTTGGCGATTTGGTATACAGTAGAGAGCCGATTATCCGAACCCTTATTATCCGAAGGTCCAATTATCCAAACTATGTCAGAATTAGTGTTTTTTTTTTTTAAGGTTTAGAATACTTTTTAACTTATCGACATTTTTTCTTAATTTAGAAGAATAAATAATATCCACTACATTTGAAGACCATACTTAATTTACAACCTTTTTTAGCAGTTTTCTTATAGTAGCCATACATGTATAGTTATACAGTTAAACCTAGATACCCCTTTACCCCTCTTCAACTAAAAATTTTCTTCCAAGAATGTGAGCTTCATTTTGACAGTCTACAATGGTTGGAATGCGTTGGAGTTTATGAATAGATAAATGCTGAAGTTCTATAATTGGGGGAGGGGTACTTGTCACTTATAGTTAATGATTAGTGATTACAGTGCTTGGAATCTTAAATCTTGGAATAAAATTCTTAACAGAAAAACAACTGAAACTGAAGTTTCTGAACCAGTAGATCTTCCAGATGAAAAGATACCAGGTTGTACAGCAGAAGAAATAGAAGACTGGTGTCGAAACACTGAAAACGACGCAGGATTTCAAATTTTAGATGATGATGAAATTGTTGCTGAAATTTTGAATGAAAATCAGAACTCCACAAGCGAAGCGGAAGAAGTAGGTGATCAAGTTCAAGATAGTGGACCTTCTCATATAGAAGCATGCAATTCATTAGATATTGCAATGAATTGGCTAGAACGTCAAAATGATGTTGATCCAGTTCAGTTTATTTATTTAAAAAGAATAAGAGATATGGCTGCTCAAAAAAGAGCATCTTCTTTGAAACAAAAGTCTTTGCTGGATTTCTCTTGTGATGGAAAATTGAAAAAAATGTAGTAAAATCAGTAATTGACAAAAGAATTATAAAAATCTGAAAAATTATAAAAATAATTCAAAATGAATAAAAGTAAAAATAAATAAATAAACAGAAAATATTTAAAAATTGAAAAAAAATACACGCCAGAGCTATTTTAGACAGTATTGCTAGTCCTGAGCCTAGAAAAAGTGTGAAGGGAAGTTAGTGCACAAATAATAATCATTTAAACTAAATTTTAAACAACTTTCCAATTATCTGAACTTTTCATTATCCGAACCACGTTCGGTCCTGAGCAGTTCGGATAATCAGCGCTCTACTGTATATGTATTTGGCAATTTGGAAGATATGTATAAGCAGTTGTAACTGTGTAAACATGTTTATACAAATATTATGTGAAAAAAACTGAAGCAATATCCTGTTTAGATGCTGAGAAAAGGTGCATCGAAAAAGGTCAGTTTTAACATTATTGGTATATGCTCTTCCGACACCCCTTTTAATATAAAAAGTAACGATAAATAAACAAGATAAATGTTGGATTAATAATAGCGACTCAAAATTTGAAAATTACCATCTGTTTCAATTGACAGTGGAATTATATCGGGACCTTTCTCGCTATTGCTTTCTTGACTGTCCTCCAATTCTTTCTTTGTAATTTCACAACTGCAAAAAAATTCGTAATTATTTAATCCAGGGACTTTATTAAATCTAAAGATGGAAAAAATATCAAATAGAATAATTTTTATCTTTGCTTTTGTAAATGATATTGTATGAAGACTACATTAAAAAAATGATTTTGAAATTAAACGGCTTTAAATAATAAAATAAAGCAAGCATATGAACTCAATCTTTGGTATTTAAAAATAAATCTATAAATTCTTTATTAAAAAGGATTAGTCAAATATTTTTAAAACAAAATGAGTCGAAAAGGATCTTATAAAAAATTCATTTTTATGAGATATCAAAAACTGAATAAATTAATTAATTTCTTTCAAATAAAAAAAGTGTTGAAAATTCCTAACGTATAATAACATCTACTAAATAGCACTTTTTCTAAATTTGACTTTAGAAAGTAATATAAGCAATAGGTAATGACCAGTAAAGTTAGAGATTAAAAATACATTTTATAGTTTTGTAATTAAATAAAGTAGTACATACAATTATCTACAATCTGAATTCATAATTCATTTAATATAATCATTTGGTAATTTATTTAATATAATTATATAAACCATTTTGTATTTTCATTCTTTTGAATTTATGTGAATAAAAAAATCTTCGGTAATTGAAACAAAATGAAGCCATACGATTATAATGTCTAAAAATTAAGTGATAACAATTTTGAAAAATAATCTGCACTTACTCTGATGTTGATTCTGCTATCACTGGTTCTAAAAATATCAAAAAAAAACTATATTTAAATATGAAATCAATCACAAAATCAAAAATTGATCGAAAAATAAAACGTTTTCCGGATAAATTTTAAACCCTTAAGTAGAGCATTGCTTGATATGCATGGTGAAACAAAATAATTGCTAATTGGGGAAAAAAACAACCACGTATGTGTTACGTATCTTTTTTCAGAAAATTCCTTAAGGATGAAGCAATGTTTAAAGTCGAAAACATCTAATTTACTGAGTTATTTTAAGTGGTGCTATTCTTTACTTATAATTTTTCACAATTGGGGGTGACTATTTTCTTTTTGTATTTATCAATATTAAATTTTTGCGAAAGTTTTCAGTTAGATACTTGCTATTTGTTCATTTGCACAAAATTTTGTAACAGCAAAAAAAAAGAACTTTTTGAGAATTTATGAACGAGATTTATTGTTTCGGCTGTGAAAGTACAAATTTTTTGAACTATGTTTTCATGCTATTATCAAAAAATGTAAAAACTGTATTTCTTGTTGCATTATCCGAAAGAAAAAAAATTACATTTCTTAGAAAGCACAAAAAAGAAAAGATTTTTAGTATTAGTAATTCTGCACTGTAAGAATTTTTATTCTAAAATTACGGTAAAATACTCAGCTGCAGTATATTTATTTAATTAAACATTTATTGCTTTCACAATTTTCAAACAGTTAGCAAATGATATGGTTAAGAAACAGTAAGAATGAAACTTCACTAGACGTTGGAGTTATGTTAGGCTTAGCATAGGCTTTTCGTTGGGTAATGTACATTGGAGTTAAGTTATGATTGAGTTGTGTTTTTCAAAATGAAAATTGGAATGTGAGTTAATTAGTTTTTCTGGTAGTGCCATCCATCGTGAGACTATTTTGTACAATGCATCTCTGTGAAATTTCCATCTGTGTGTGAATGAGAATTTCCTTTTCCGATAGTTCAGGGGCACCAATTGGGGAGTGTAAGACACTGGAAACTCTTCATTTGTTGAAGGAATGGAAGTGGTGTCAACGTTGGGATTTGAAACCATTGGGATTCTTCAAAGAAATTTCTAGCAATTTAGAACATAAAAAAAAGATTCAAAGATCATAAAAAGTTTAAGATCAAGACATTAAATTGACTAATAACAAAATAAAAAAAAATAATGTAACTATCATAAACATTTTAGCAAATGTCTAATAATGCGATTCCGTAATTATTTCTCGGGCATAACACACAAAATTAATTAATATATTTGTCGAAAAACTTTTAAAATCTTACAGGTATGCTATTAATTTCTTAATTTCCTTATAATCTATTCACATTCATACCACATAAAATTATAATTTTTAGTCATCTCTCTTTCGAAGNTTGTCTTGCATTTTTTATAATTATATACACTTTTAAACTACCTACCATGCTTAATGCACTGAGAGGACTTTCAATTCAACTTTTACGCCGGGACTTCATCTTTACAGCACTGTATCTGTGTATTTCTCACGAATATATTTCGGAGAGGGAGAATCCTTCTTATGGTAAATTGATTCTTCTGAGATTCGACTGGTGTAAAATACTGAAAAATAAAATGTTTTAAGGAAAAAAAAATCATAAAAATCCTTCTTCTGCTTAAACTCATAAGAGAAGTAATAATTATCATCTTTAAAAAACATTATGAACTGTTTTAAAATTTACTCTTTTTTGTTTTATGGAAACATATAACGTGATATGTATATGTACCCCTACGTAACACCTAGATAAGCCATTAACATGCCAAGTACGCCAAAAGTGCTTTGGCAAGGTATGCGGTAAATGTACCGGTGAATTTTATTACCGATAGTATCTTTGATGGATAGGTTCTTTGATTTTCTTAACGTGTCTGTTATATTTAAAATTGAACGACAGAGGATATGAGCAATGTTGTAGCCAAGTATGGGGAATATGGTCCACTATAAATCAGATTAGAAGTTTAGGGAAACTTGGGTCTAGTAAGTTTAGCAAGAGCTAAACCAACTATAGCAGGATTAAATCCACGGTGGAGCAGCAAGCAAACAGAGTTCAGGATTTCAAGTCGAGGAGTTAGAGCAAAAGTTATGTATGCAAGAAACGAAAATTTGAAATTCATAAGTTTTTGGCGATTTGGAATATATGTATTTGGCAATTTGGAAGATATGTATAAGCAGTTGTAACTGTGTAAACATGTTTATATAAATATTATGTGGTTAAAAACTGAAGCAATATCATGTTTAGAAAAGGTACATCGAAAAAGGTGAGTTTAGCATTATTGGTATATGCCCTACTGACTTCCCTTTTAATATAAAAAGTGATAATTAATAAACAAGGTAAAGGTTGGATTTAATGACTCGAAATTTGAAAATTACCATCTGTTTCAATTGACAGTGGAATTATATCGGGACCTTTCTCGCTATTGCTTTCTTGACTGTCTTCTAATTCTTTCTTTGTAATTTCACAACTGCAAAAAAAAATTCATGAACACTTAAATCGAAGAATTTAATAAATCTAAAAAAAAAATCAAATAGAATAATTTGTATCTTTGCTTTCGTAATTGATATTGTATAAAGACAATATTGAAAAATGATTTTAAAATTAAATGGTTCAAAATAATAAAATAAAGCAAGCATATGAACACAATATTTGGTATTTAAAATAAATCTACCAATTCTTCATTAAAAAATTTTATTCAAACATTTTTAAAACAAAATGATCCGGTAACGATCCTATAAAAAAATTCATTTTTATGAGATATCAAAAACTGAATAAATTAATTATTTTTTTTGGAATAAAAAAGTGTTGAAAATTCCTAACGTATAATAACAGTTACTAAAAAGTACTTTTCTTACTTAATTTTAGAAAATAATGTAAGCAATAAGTAAAGACCAGCAAAGTTAGAGATTAAAAATACATTTTAGTTTCGTAATGAAATATACTAGCATATAAAATTGTCTGCAATTTGAATTTATAATTCATTTAATACAATCATTTTGCAATCTATTTAATATAATTATATGAATCTTTTTGTATTTTCATTCTCTTGAATTTATATGAATAAAAAAACCGCCAATAATTGAAACGAAATGAAGCCATACGATTATAATGCCTAAAAAATTAAGTGATAACAATTTAGAAAAATAATCTGCACTTACTCTGATGTTGATTCTGCTATCACTGGTTCTAAAAATGTAAAAGAACCATATTTAAATATGAAATCAATCAAAAAGTCAAAAAATTGGTCGAAAAATAAAACGTTTTACGGATAAATTTTAAACCCTTGAGTTGAGCATTGTTTGATATGCATGGTGAAACAAAATGATTGCTAACTGCGAAAAAAAAGACAGCCACGTATGTATTACGTATCTTTTTTCAGAAAATTTCTTAAGGATGAAGCAATGTTTCAAGTCGAAAACAACTAATTTACTGAGCTATTTTAAGTGGTACTATTCTTTACTTATAATATCACAATTCGAAGAGACTCTTTTATTTCTGTATTTATCAATATTAAATTTTTGCGAAAGTTTTCTGTCAGAATACTTGCTATTTGCTCATTAGCACAACATTTTGTAACAGCAAAAAAAAAAAAAAGAACTTTTTGAGAATTTATGAAAGAGATTTATAGTTTCGGCAGTGAAAGTACAAATTTGAACTATGTTTTCATGCTATTATCAAAACTCTAAAAACTGTATTTCCTGTTGTATTATCCAAAAGAAAAAAAATAACATTGCTTAGAATGCATAAAAAAGAAAATATTTTTAGTATTCGTAATTCTACACTGTAAGAATTTTTATTCTAAAATTACGGTAAAATACTCAGCTGCAGTATATTTATTTAATTAACCATAAGGAATACGGCTAAGAGCATTTCTTACTTTTACAATTTTCAAGCAGTTAGCAAATGATATGGTTAAGAAACAGTAAGAATGAAATTTCACTAGACGTAGGAGTTATGTTAGGCTTAGGATAGGCTTTTCGTTGGGTAATGTACAATGGAGTTAAGCTATGATTGAGTTGTGTTTCGCAAAATGAAAAGTGGAATGTGAGTTAATTGGTTTATCTGGAAGTGCCATCTATCGTGAGACTATTTTGTGCAATGCATCTCTGTGAAATTTCCATCTCGGCGTGAATGAGAGTTTCCTTTTCCGATAGTCCAGGGGCACCAATTGGGGAGTGTAAGACACTGGAAACTCTTCATTTGTTGAAGGAAGGGAGTCAACGTTGGGATTTGAAATCATTGGGACTCTTCAAAGAAATTGCTAGCAGTTTAGAGCATAAAAAAACGATTTAAAGATCATAAAAAGTTCAAGATCAAGACATTAAATTGACTAATAACGAAATAAAAAAACATAATGTAACTATCATAAACATTTTAGCAAATGTCTAATAATGCAATTCCGTAATTATTTCTCGGGCATAGCACGCAAAATTAATTAATATATTTGTCGAAAAAATTTTAAAATCATACATGTATGCTATTAATTTCTTAATTTCCTATTAATTTCTTAATTTCTTAATAATCTATTCGCATTCATCCCACATAAAATTATAATTTCTAGTTATCTATCTTTCGAAGAACCATACAGATCCTTTAGTATTAAAGATTGATGCATTTCAGCTTAAAAAAGTTTTATATGAGCGTAATGGAACAAATTTCATAATTTAAAATCAATTTTAAAAATATATTGAAATAAGCATTTATTTTCACTGGTAATTTGAATAATGGTATGTTCTTATAAAAAAATTGCGTATTATAATTTACCTTTGTTAGAAACTCCTTTCTGCACGTGAATCCTAATTAGAATGATTGCTACAAGAACTGAAACTATAACAATTGTTAGAACTCCAATCAGAATCCAAATGAATGAGCTTAGCGATGCGTTGTCGTCTTTAGCTAAAAGAAATGCAATTTATTCCTTTAAACTAAGAAGTTTCTTCATTAAGTTTCAGAAACAACTCTAACAAAGAACTATTTCTTCATCAGGATTATGCATGTACAGTTTATTTGGAATACATTGTTTTATTATTAAAGAATATAACAGTTGTGATAAAGAGCTATAGATTTCCGTTTATTGCAAATATTGTAAAAATTACAAGGTTTAACGATTTTTTTTGAGAAAAATAGTATAGTAAATCTTTTAAAATATGACATTCTGCTACCAATTTTTTTTCCTTTCTTTTCCCTACATATTATTTTTAACATAATGTTTTTAGACTTTTTTTGGAATTAAATATGAATTTTTTTGGAATTAAATATGAAATCTACTAGTAATCTTTTAATAGAATATACATAATCAGTAAAGCATTTTAGAAAGTATCCTAAAATTCTTTAGGCCTTTGAAAGTTATAATCCATAGTGATAGACACTGTAAAGTAAAAAAAAAATCAAATGAAATAAAAGTAAAGCTTTCCTGTTATAAACTTTTGTAGGCCAAGAGCCATTGAGATATAGGCTGCACTATATCATGAGCAATATCATGATTGCGGCTATGTGGTCAGCATTGCGCACAGACTGTCTTTACTTCTTATACAAGCTGGTACCTAATGATCTGAAGTTGGATAGATTTCAAGCCACCTCTAGGGATGTAAAATAAATCAGTTTTGCAATATTGAATATAAATGTGAACAAATTTCTGGCCCCCTATACTTTTGGGTCTGAATCAGTCGACAAAAATGAAACTTTTTTATTTGGGAATTATTATTTGTGTCTGATTTCTGAACTTAAAATATCGCCTGCACTAACTAATTAGCATATTTGAAGTCATCCCTTCAAACCTTTAGGATTCAGTCCTAGAAAGTGAAGATTCGATCATTACATCAAAAGTTGTTCAGGGTGGATCGTTTTTTATTTCGCACACTGCACATCGAGCTATTAATCATTCTTCAGTAAAGTCATGCTTGTTATAAAATAATTTATTTAAATAATTATAATGCAGATTTAATGGGTGGAAAAATGATCATAATTATTGTTTAAAATGATCAGAATTATTTTTTTTTTAAAAAAAGGAATTGAAACTCTTTTAAAATTAATATTTCATTTTAAATGTTATATTCGTTCTTACAGATGAAAAATAGATCTTACTTTTCCCAAAGTAAAATCACAGTGTACTGAATAAACTATTTAAGAGATACAGACAGAAAAAAAAATATGCATAACCCTTTAAAAAATTTACTTAAACATCTTTATTAAGCTGAGAGCACAAAATATTACTATTTGACTAAGTATAGTATGCGAACAGAGCGAAATATAATAGAAGAGATAATTACATCTAGGAAACAAACCATTAACCTTCTACAAAAAAAACTGCGGACCTTTATTAATGTTATCAAAATAATATTAAAATAATTATATTTTACTGCGTTATTTACGAAAGTGTTACATAATTATCCACGAAAATATAGATTTTATTGTTTACAAACAGCTTTTTCCAGTTATCACAATGTCATAAAGACTTAAATACTATCATTTAAGAAAGTTTTTTCAAAGAATGTGTTTTGTGACAAGCGTGTCTCTTTATTTTATTTTCATTAAATAACACATAAAATATTTATTTTCATCTTATTCATGAAACTATACCTAAACTTTTAACCGCACACAATTTATGTTTAAATTTAAATGAATAAAATAATTGTATTACTGATATTAATTAATAGATTTGTTATAGTTTTTCAGAGACATTTCATTTAATAATTTTTTTCGGGAAACTATTCTAAATAATGAACTGTAAATTTTCTTCTAGTTGCTTTTACGATTTGAGAAAAAAAGGGGCCAAATAACATTTCTTCCTTCCAGCTAGGAAGTAATTCTGTTTATGCATGAATTTGATAAATAATTTATATTGAATTTGATATATATCTTGATATATTTCGTTAATTTATATATTATCAAAATTTAATAAATTTAAATAAAAAACAGTTTCTAATGCTACCTATCTAAATTATCTATGAAATTTGATTTAAATATTATCTGAATTATACAATACATTAGCTCCAAGCATGTTTAAATTAATAATAAGATAAGTGCGTAAGTTAAAATAAATCCATTGTATTTATTTTTAAAAATTTTTAACCATAAATAGAGTGTTTAGATACCATAAATATAAGAAGAATAAATATAGAGAGAATTAACCATAAATATACATGACAAAACTTAGCGTAAATTTAGACACGTTGTGTCTAAATTAATGTAAATAAGCTTATACGTACGTCTAGATTTTATTCGCACTGAAAATATCTATAAGTCCTTATACCTGAAAATATTTAAATTGTAACTATTACAAATATAATGGTAGGATATTAGTTACAAGTGTGGTGTTTTTCATATTGGGTCTGAATTATATTTTACGATATAAACTCAAGAAAGGAAACCCTCATATATAATAACACATTGTAAAGTGCAATTGCTACAAGTATAATTGTAGAATTATGCTTATGATGAGTGGGATTTTTCACAACAGTTCTAAATTTACACCAATTAGCTAATAGTGTAAAATATCCCACTGAAACGTGTATAAAACTGGCCAATATAAACTGAAACGTGTATAAAACTGGCCAATATAAAATCACTATTTAAAGTGTGTTTACGCTTTTGGAACTTGTTTACCTGACAGATATTCCCTTGGAAGTAATAATTTTAATATATATATATATATATATATTTTTCATATATATTTGCAGAAAATTAAACACTTTTAATAAATTCATTCAAAAAAAATACTTTNAAATATATATATATATATATGTATATATATTTAAGAATAGAAGCCGAATGATTTATTTCTTCTACCTGTTCAGTTGAATGTTACTGATTTAATGAAATTTGCTCTTGAGCTCAAATTTATTAAAATATTCTTAAGCACAATTGGTATTTGTAAATGAATTAGTTTTTATTTGAAAATAAATTAGTTTTAAAAGAAATTACTTTGAAAAAATAAACTGAAATGAAATTACTTCTTATTCTCGTAGCATTTTTTTAATTTAATTTAAATTGCACCTGTTTTCAAATCTCGCAAATTCGAATTAATTCAAATGAAAGTGAAAGAAAGTATATAGTTAATAGAAATATATTCATGGGTTGCATTTCCAATTATAGTCAGCTTTGCTTTAAATTTCAACTTAATATCGTTGCCAATTTTTATTCAAATGCTTATATATTTCATTTATCTTCAAATAATTGTCATTAAAAATAATAATAAAAAAAAATATAAACCAATCAATAAAAACTCATTACCAAGTTATTAAGTTCTCCTTCTCGAATTACCGCAGCACTTGAGCCTAGCTCAGAAAATTTTCTTAAGAAATTATAATATTTTATTTTTTGTTAAATAGAAATAGATTAGATTTATTTCAATCATAATGATTGTGCTTAAATTAATAATAAAATTCATAAATGTGAACGAAACAAAATAATTTTTTTCACATTAATTTTAAGCTAACTTGAGTAAACAAGGCATTTCATTATATTAAAAGCAGTTTTTTTTAAAAATGATTTTCAAATATGCCGAAAAAGATATAGAGACCTCAAAAGATGAATTAAACTAGAGCGTCTCTTCTGTGTCCATTTATCTTCATGTTTTTCCCAAAACAATTTTATACTTTTTTACTTATTCAAATAGACATAATTTTAATATCCTTTTTAATATCCTTCGCAAAGTATATCCTAAAGTATAAAACGATAAAACATACTTTGGGATATTTGCGTAAAGTGTAGTACAATTTTATTTTTTGATTTTTTTTTATATATGTTTATTTTAACTTTTTTAAATCATATCTAATCTGCATCCTCTTGAAATATAAAACAATAACAAAAAATTTAAAAAAATAAAATAAAATAAATTTAAAAAATAATTAATAAAAATTAGGCTAATACTAAAATGAAACTAATTAAAATAATAATGTAATAAATTACCAAGCAAATAATAAAGAATTTTTACCTGTTCTTTTTTCAGCTGGTAATGCAGTTGAAGCTACAAGAGCTACTGAATTACTTTTTCCTTTTATATTTGATGAATAAATGACTAAGACGTAGGAAGTCCCTGGAATTAATCCATCCACATGGAAACTTGGCTTTTCCAGTTTTGTAAGGTTTGCGGTAATGTGTTCGGCAATAGAGTCATAAGCTTCCAAATGAAATGATTGTTGAAGACTCCCATTATAACCAGCCTCACAATCAATGGTGAGAGATGAGCTAGTTTGATTAATTATAGTGCAATCGTGCGGTGGCTCTGGTTCCCCTTAAATAAAGAAAGGAAATACTCATTATACTTATACGAGAAAACAAGTTATTGGCTGTCTTATCCAATGAAAGTATTAGTATTATTTTAGTTGAAAAGTTCCGTGAATGCTTGTAGTCCATATTTTTGTAACTTTATTTCCAGAGAATTTAATTTGCCAATTACAGATATTTAAAAAATAAATTAAATTTCCTCAAATAGTTTAACATTAATAGAAATATTATACATTAATAAAATATTAATGTTAATATTATAAAGATATTAACATTAATAAAAATATTTTAGAGGAAATTTTTTTTTCGTTCTAAAATATAAATTAAAAAATTTGAGATTCTCCAGAAGCAGAAAAAAAGAGTACATAAATATCTATGAAACATATACAATTATTTTATGGAACGTAATAATACCTTTTTGTGTTGTAACAAACTAATTTGAATTACATAAAATATGTATTTCAGAATTTGAGGCATCATTAATATCGAAAATAAGAGTTTTGACTACCTAGTACATAGATGAAATTAAGAGAAACGTTTCTCCATCTAAATGGGGCATTTTACAAATGCAAACTCAAACGCTTTCAACATAATTTATTCGTGCAGTTCTAAATTTAAAATTTCACAAGAAATTTTTGCAATACATTTCAAGCTAAACTTTATCCCATTAAAACCGGGAAAGTAAACTAAGGCAACATCAACTTAATTCATATGAAATATAAGCGTTTTTCTTCCATTTTCGTACAGAGGCAGATTAATTTTGCTCTTATGAAATTATTTTATTAAAACGATCTGCTATAAATGTGCAACATTAACAACCAACATAACAACAAATCTTAAATTTACATGAATTCCGTTCCATTTATACACATTATGTTTATTAATGTACAGTGTGTAAAATAAAAGCAGACCACCCTTAATAACTTTTTATCGAATAATCGGATCCTCATATTCTAGTTTTCATCCTTAATGGTTTGAAGAGGAGACTTTAACTATGCTAATTTATTAGTGCAGACGATATTTAAAGTAACGAAATCAAGCACAGAAACGTATTTTATCTGAATAAACATACCGTTTCCAACTCGGATATTTGACCAAAATATGGGGAGTAGCCGAAATCTGCGAAATATGATCCCAATAGTTTGGTCAAGATACCGGTTCAAAGTTTGAACCCCTTCATGTTAATTTTACTTTTTGTGTATTTCGCTATACCTCGAAAATTTTTAAAGCTAATTCGAAAAATTTTGCAAACAATTATAACATTTATTTAGCCATAGATAATTCTATACAAAAGCATCTTTAAGTAAGTATTCGCTATTTTTTAATAGTTTATTTTATAATAGTCGAAAACATTGAATTATAAAGTATATAACTTTTTACATAATTTAGAAAAATGTATTTTTACATGACAAAACACAAAATTTGACCAAAATCGGTCGAATAGTTCCTGAGAAATTGATTTTTAAAAATACGACTTTTTCAAAATTCGATTTCTCAAAATTGATTCTTCCGATTTCGCTAATATTTTGTATTTCACCATTTATAATTATACTATTTAAAATGATGACAATAAATCGTAGACCTAATAAATCAAAATTTTTTTGACTATTATTAAACAAAATTATAAAAAATAATAAATGTGCACTTAAAATCATATTTTGTATGGAAATATCTCGGTATAAATAAATTTTATATTGGTGGGTGACAAAATTTTTTAATTTGCTAAACAATTTGTCGAGATATATGGCGAAATATTTAAAAACCAAAATTAACATTACGAGGTCCAGATTTTAAACCATTTACTGACAAAACTATTGGGAGCATTTACAGAGCGTAAAGTAAAAAGAACGTGTCACCCTTAATAACTTTTGATTTAATAGTCGGAACTTCACGTTCTAGTACAACACGCATTAATGTATATAGCAAAATAACGCTAATATTATTCAAATGATGTAATTATTCTATTGGATCAATCAATGATTCAAAAATGTTTACTCTACTTTACATTCTTTACATACTCTACAGTGAGAAAAATATGGTTGAAATTGCCATAATTATGGTACAATTTATCGTGTTTCCAAAATGCTTGATAATTTTTACCGAAACACTTTGGCAATGATTTTGATAATGATAATGAATGGTAATGGGAGAAAATGGATTTATAATGTCTGATAAATTAAGTAATTTAGTCTTGATACTTAGATCACGGCATACGAAATCATTTATTTGGAAAAATTAATTTCCACTTTTGTATATTTTACTAAATGAGTGTTAATAAGAATTATAACTTTGAAAACAGGATTTTTCATTAAACTGCAGCCATGGGAAAAGAAATATTACCAAATGAATGATTTAGTTACTGCTTATTTTGATTTTACTAGAATTTTTTTCCACAAATGTCATTACCATAAATTTTACCAGATTTTTTTCTCCGTGTCCAGATTCTGTTATCTTCCAAAATCCCTACTCTATCTAATATTTTCACCAAATTACTTTACTATATATTTTTTTATTTTTTTTTGTTGTTGCTGAAACAGAATTATTTTCTTTAATTAAAAAAAAACATTTCATTTTAGTCAAGGTTTTTTTATTAAATGAAAAAGTTTACTTTCAAAAGAAAACATTCTAATGTCTTCAAAATTAATCGAGTTTATTTTCTACCAATTCAAAAGATTTTGTTCGGCTTTAAAAATTTTCTTAATTTTGAAGCTAATACAAAGAATAAATTGAAGGCATCATATTGATGGAAAAAAGCCCTTGAAATTTTCCAATGCTCTATTATATTTAATAAATAATGTTTACTAAAAAGAATTTTATTAGGAAACATGAATAATTTATAAGCAATTTAAAAAACCTACATTTTCACAGTAAGAAAAATAATTTGCTCATCATTATGACTTGGGTGCGGCTTACAGGCGCCAAAATGATCATTAAATTTCCTTGTAAGTTTCCGTTAGAATAAAAATATTATCTCAAATAATAATCGAGTGCACTAATCTCACATTTCTGATTTTATATTTAAATAGATTTTTTCAGCTTAAATATAATAATAAAAATAATCATCGACCATTCTCTTAGATATCGCTTTCAAAACAACTTTAACACACTGAATATGTTTAATTTCCTTTTTTTTAAAATTAACATTTTTAATGATTATAAACTATTGTTATTAGAGGGCATACAACTTCCGAATTTAAAAGAAATTTTTGATGACATATTTCTTTCCAGAACTTAGAAACAGTTTTTACGTAGATAACTTTTCAGGTTAATAAAAAGAACTCCTCTTTTACAAATATTAGGTATGATACATAGTTATAAATAAAATACATACCAGAGGGGTACTATTTTTATAGTACAAGGTTCCTTTTGATGGCCTATTAAATGATTATAAACTATAGTTATTAGAGGGCATACAACATCCGAATTTAAAAGAAACTTTTAATGATATTGTTTCTTTCTGGAACATAGAAAGAGTTTTTACATAGATAACTTTTCTTGTTAATAAAAAGAACTCCTCTTTTACAAATATTAGATATGATACATAGTTATAAATAAAATACATACCAGCGGGAACTATTTTTATAGTGCATGGTTCTTTTTGATGACCTATTGAATTTTTTGTCCAACACAGCAATGTACCATATCCAGACATTCTTTGATGTGAGAAAATAAAATGTTTCTTAGACGCATTCATTGTCCAATTTTGAAGAATTTTTATTTCACCAGAACTATTAAAAGACCATTTATAAGACACTTCACGAGGACTTGCATCAATATCGCAAGTAACATTAGCAGTTTCCAGTGGAGTTATACCGTAAATTTTTGCTGAACGATGGTTGCAAACAGGTGTAACTGAAAAAAAAACATCCAAAATTTATTCAGTTTACTAAATTTACACTCCGATAATAGTCGAATCCAATCAAAGTTTTCATATACGATAATAGTTTTCATTGCTTGCACACAAATGAATAATAATTATAGGAAGGTGTCTAAACTTTACTACTTTTAAGATTTATATTTTTATCAGTTATAATTATATTTGAAATATTTTAACAATATTATACCACTGTTAAGCTACTTACATTATTTTTTGTAACTATTTGAGCAATAAGTACTAAAAAAAAATGTTTTTGCAAGGTCTGCCAGTGGTACCATTTAACATACCTGTTTGCATAAACGTAGCACTTTGTCCCGATATCGCATCAACCTCAAAAATTTAGAATATTTATTCTTAAGTAGCTAAGTAAACCATGTAAAGCACAACACAGTGAAATTTTTGATCTGTTAAAATCATAGTGACAGGATTATAATCCTATAAAATGTAAATTGAACATGATGCACTACAACGTACAAGCATGAGATTTATAAGTGCTGCTTGGTAATACTACTTTTTTTTGGAATCTGAAACATAATTTCTTCTTTGGTTTTAGAAATGAAGAAATTAGTCAAATAGAAGACTTCAAGACAGAAGGTACAGGGGAAGATCGGTCTGTCAAATGATGCTGCTAATCAATAATTACTTGATCAATATTTAGCTAACCAGAGGGCATATCACTTATTAGTTAGATGTTTTTTATTCAATTTTCATTAAACAGGGAGAATAAAATTTATCATAAGGATATTAAATATGTTTGAATTTACTGAAATGGTTTCCTTCCGATTGAATCATGCATAGATTGAGCTTTTCTGCTGTCAAGGACGCAGTTTAATTAAAAATTGATGTAATGGAATATTTAAGTAATATTTAATGGAATAATAAGTTTCACTAACAAGATGAGAAATTCAGTAATACGAGAAAGTTCATCCCCTTGTCAAAGCCCCTTTTTGACAGTTTATGTGTCGTACAGTAAAAAGGAATTGAAAATCAACCTGTTCAAAAGTTGAGATTGATACTTTGTTCCGAAAACATACCTATATGATTTAGGACAGCACTCGAGGTACGGTTTAGGCACTTACACAACATTTTAAAAAAGTTTTATTCCAAGCCTCAAACAACAGTCAGCTAACGAAGAAAATAGTAGATCATAACAGAATATGTTGTTAATAATTAGACATAATGTATTGAAAAATTTGTACCTTACTGTATTATTACTATGACGATTAATACAAATAAGAACTTAACACAAGTAAACAGTGTCTTTTGTCTTCGAAATGGATCTTAATGTCAAAAAAGCTTCCTAATTTAACAGCTAGAGTGTTCTGTATACAATATTTCTTCTGTAATCAGAGGCGATGCGATTTAGGCAATTTTTTTTCTCTAAATATCATCTCAAATAAAATACGTTTTCCTTAAATTGAATAATAATATTTTTTCATACTATGAAGAATAATCGAAATCGACGAGTAAATTAATTGAGACTATTTTAAATATTATTAAAATAAGTAATAAAATAAAATCACCAATAATAATTATTTTTCTCTAAGTAATCCTTTAAGTTAAATGAATTTTAAATTTTTGAGAAAAAATATTTTATAATAATTTTACAAATCGTTACAGAATTGATGAATGTATAATAGTAAGGGTGAAGTACACATGGAGATAAATTGGTTTTGAGTTGTCCAGATTTTCTACAAAAATTTCGACTAAGTAGTTTAGTACACTTTTTATCTAGTTTTTTTTCTTTATTTTGATGTAATCTTTTTTTCTTTTAGGATCACGTATTGCTGTAGGTATTTCGAAGTTTTGAGCAATACTAATTAGTTCCTCAGTAATACAGTCTTTAAAACAAAACTCATTTCATTGATTTTTCCTTCTTTTCGAAAGCACACAACGATAAAAGAAAAAAAAACAATATTGGAACAATTAGGAATCATTCATTTTTGACCTTCTTCTAACAGCTGGGGCATGTATGCTCTAAAAAAATATACCTTGACGAAAGTTCTCGAAGTACAGTACATTGATGGTTTTTTTTTTCTTTGTTTCTACGTAGTCCTGGATCATACTGAACTTCTGCGGAAAAATATGAGTTGAGTAAACTTTTTTAGAAATGTTTAGCTGGTGTCTCGGAAAATATTTTGGGCTTGGTTGGACATTCACCACCTGGTACATTTTATAGCTATGACTCCATCAAATATGACAGTTGTTCGATCAAAAAACTTCTAATATTTATACTTATAATTGATCGATTTGCTTAAATATTGGGTCAGTGTGCTCTAATTACTATGTATAACTACGATGACATTGATAGCAACATTTAGGACTTGCCAAAAACATCACATGATTCTAATCACCTTGGATTATAAATGCTAAACGAATTTAGTGTTTTTCAATTGCATTTCACACGAAGATTCCCATTAATTTTAATTAAAAAAAATAAATATTGGAAAAAAGGATATTTTTTAACAACCAGATCCTTTATATAAACTATTACTTGTAAGGTAATAATCAGTGCATTAAAATGCAGATCATTAACACATTCAATTATATTTAACAGTGGCTTAATAACCATTCCCTGAGTAATTTGAAAAAACTATAAACTGTCCGTAAATCAGTACAGAACAACAATACGAAATCGTGAACAAATCTGAAAGACTTTTACCAACTATCAACTACTAACAACCAACTAACAACTTTTTTAAACAAAACTAATCCCAAATTTTAAATTTATTCATGCCCTTGTTGATGGCTTTACAGATAAAGCAATGCACGTTTATAGTAATCCATTCCATAAAAGTAACGATTTACTCTGTTTACAATAATTTCGTTTTTGTCGAGTTCAGTTCGTTATGGTTAAAATTTATCACGATTAAGCGATTTTCTTCGGTACTTATCATTTTCAAAGGCCAATAAGACACTTCTTTTCACATTATCTACATGAAAACACCAGAGCATTAATGTTGTTTTATTAGGTACAAATTATACTAACTGTTTGTATATTGGTATATTTGGTATTGAGTTAAATTGCACCAATTACCATAATACCTAAAGTGCCGATTACCAAAATTAACTAAGCACCATTGGTGTCAATAATATTATGTCATATTTTATTTTCCTCCTGAACGAATTAATGCCATTTTTCCAGTAATTTTTCTTTTCCGCACTTTGTTTATATTAGTAGCTTATGTTTTAATGAGTAACTATTGCCAACATTATTCAAACTTCATTGGCAAAAATAATAGTATAGCGATTTTTTTTTACTTTTCTTCTAAATGAGTTATTACCATTTCCCCATTCATTTTGCATTTTAGTGCAGTTTACTATGCTACTGGCCATTAAAATTGCTACACCACGTAGGAATGCAAGTAACAGAATGATATTTATTGGACACATACATTATAGTTGGAAAAACAAGTGATTAAAATTTCAGGATATTTGGATGTATAGATGCTGAAGAATTAATATTCATAGCTGCCTCCCCTGGCAGAAATAACATCCATTGTTCTCCTGGGTATCGAGTCGAACAAAGATTTGATAGCATGGAAAGGAACAGCATTCCAGCAGCTTCAACATTATGCTCCAATTCATCGAACGTAGTAACTGACGAGTGACGGCGTGCCAGTCGTTCGACAACCTTTTACCAGACGTTTTCAATTGGTGAGACATCTGGAGAACGTGCTGGCCAGGGCAACAGGCGAACGTGTTTTGTGTCAAGGAAGTTCAGGACAGTGCGGGCAACACGAGGTCGTGCATTGTCCTGCTGAAACGTAGCGTTCTGGAGGCCTCGAAGATAAGGCAGAGCAACAGGCGCTAACACATCCGAAATGTACCGGCTGATGTTCAAAGTGTAGTCAATGTAAATAAGAGGTGATTTAGACGTGTATCCAGTGGTACCCCATACCGTTACTCCAGGTAACGTAGGTCAGTATGGCGGTGCCGAATGCAAGCTGAAAATGGTAGTTCTCCACTATGTCGCCAAATACTCATGTGGCCATCATGACAGTGTAAACAGAACCTGGATTTGTTTGAAAAGATGACGTCATGATATCCCTGCATCCAGGTTCGTCGTTGATCACACCATTGGAGGCACTCCTGTCTGTGATGCAGCGTCAAGGGTACCCGAAGCCATGGTAGGCGTGCAGACAGTCCATGCTGCTGCAAACGTCGTTAAACTGTTTGTGCTGACGCTTGTTGTCTTTCGAATGACCCCATTTGTTGACTCAGGTTTCGTGACGTAGCTGTACGATCCCTTAAGGCCATGTGGATAACATGCCTGTCTTCTCGACTGTTAGTGATGGGGGGCAGCCGAGACATCACTGTCTCTATTTTGAAAATCGTCTGCAGTTTCAATCATACTTTAGCGCTATCTCTAAGCCATTGAAAATATTCTATTTTATAAATGTCCATCCTGAACGATTTAATTGAAATTTTTGAAGGATTTCCAGAATCTGAGGCTAAAATTGCTCTTTCAACAACTGTCCAAGTCTTAGAAAGATAGAAAAAACGGTTCTGGATAAAAGATACACACACGCACAAACTCTTAGTTTTATAATTATGGACGTAGACGTCTGTCTCTATTGCTTGAGAATCCGTTTCTTTTGTCACCAAACTGTGTAAAGGATTAGGTAGCATATTAAATGGGTAAATGTTGCAAAATATATTTAAACATTGCGATTATCCTTGCATCTAAGCTTTCAGTTTCTTAAAAAGCTCACTTTTATTTTATAATTTTACAACCGTCGTTGAACAGCCGACCCAATTTTGGGTTTACGACTACTAATGTTCAACTCCGCAGCCCTGTAATTTTGAACCCAAGCCAGAAGACAAGGAAACTCATGGATCAGTACCCCAGGGGTATGATTTGTCATGGGAACATGGAGGGCATTGTGACTCGACAGACTTAACACCAGTCACCATTTACTACACGGGGAGTTTTTAGCCGACGGGGAACAAACTCACGTCCTCTTGGACATGAGCCCAGCGCCCTCCCAACCAGGCTATTCCGGACCTTTAAAAAGCTATTTGAGAGTAATAAAATTTTCGATAAAAGCAGTGTTTTCTAATATTTCCCAGAATATATTTGATATCATGCAGTGATAATGCAATCAGGCAAAACTGTTTTTACTTAATACGCTCAACCGTGCCCAATCTAAAAGTTTGAAGTTAAAAGTTTAGTGCAATAATTTTATCAACTTATTAATTGAACTGATCAAAGAAATGATAAGTTATCGTCTTACTGATTGACAATATGCTTGTTCTTTATATGCTTGTTGTATATTTTTTCTAACTCCTGAGGATNTAGTGCATGGTTCTTTTTGATGACCTATTGAATTTTTTGTCCAACACAGCAATGTACCATATCCAGACATTCTTTGATGTGAGAAAATAAAATGTTTCTTAGACGCATTCATTGTCCAATTTTGAAGAATTTTTATTTCACCAGAACTATTAAAAGACCATTTATAAGACACTTCACGAGGACTTGCATCAATATCGCAAGTAACATTAGCAGTTTCCAGTGGAGTTATACCGTAAATTTTTGCTGAACGATGGTTGCAAACAGGTGTAACTGAAAAAAAAACATCCAAAATTTATTCAGTTTACTAAATTTACACTCCGATAATAGTCGAATCCAATCAAAGTTTTCATATACGATAATAGTTTTCATTGCTTGCACACAAATGAATAATAATTATAGGAAGGTGTCTAAACTTTACTACTTTTAAGATTTATATTTTTATCAGTTATAATTATATTTGAAATATTTTAACAATATTATACCACTGTTAAGCTACTTACATTATTTTTTGTAACTATTTGAGCAATAAGTACTAAAAAAAAATGTTTTTGCAAGGTCTGCCAGTGGTACCATTTAACATACCTGTTTGCATAAACGTAGCACTTTGTCCCGATATCGCATCAACCTCAAAAATTTAGAATATTTATTCTTAAGTAGCTAAGTAAACCATGTAAAGCACAACACAGTGAAATTTTTGATCTGTTAAAATCATAGTGACAGGATTATAATCCTATAAAATGTAAATTGAACATGATGCACTACAACGTACAAGCATGAGATTTATAAGTGCTGCTTGGTAATACTACTTTTTTTTGGAATCTGAAACATAATTTCTTCTTTGGTTTTAGAAATGAAGAAATTAGTCAAATAGAAGACTTCAAGACAGAAGGTACAGGGGAAGATCGGTCTGTCAAATGATGCTGCTAATCAATAATTACTTGATCAATATTTAGCTAACCAGAGGGCATATCACTTATTAGTTAGATGTTTTTTATTCAATTTTCATTAAACAGGGAGAATAAAATTTATCATAAGGATATTAAATATGTTTGAATTTACTGAAATGGTTTCCTTCCGATTGAATCATGCATAGATTGAGCTTTTCTGCTGTCAAGGACGCAGTTTAATTAAAAATTGATGTAATGGAATATTTAAGTAATATTTAATGGAATAATAAGTTTCACTAACAAGATGAGAAATTCAGTAATACGAGAAAGTTCATCCCCTTGTCAAAGCCCCTTTTTGACAGTTTATGTGTCGTACAGTAAAAAGGAATTGAAAATCAACCTGTTCAAAAGTTGAGATTGATACTTTGTTCCGAAAACATACCTATATGATTTAGGACAGCACTCGAGGTACGGTTTAGGCACTTACACAACATTTTAAAAAAGTTTTATTCCAAGCCTCAAACAACAGTCAGCTAACGAAGAAAATAGTAGATCATAACAGAATATGTTGTTAATAATTAGACATAATGTATTGAAAAATTTGTACCTTACTGTATTATTACTATGACGATTAATACAAATAAGAACTTAACACAAGTAAACAGTGTCTTTTGTCTTCGAAATGGATCTTAATGTCAAAAAAGCTTCCTAATTTAACAGCTAGAGTGTTCTGTATACAATATTTCTTCTGTAATCAGAGGCGATGCGATTTAGGCAATTTTTTTTCTCTAAATATCATCTCAAATAAAATACGTTTTCCTTAAATTGAATAATAATATTTTTTCATACTATGAAGAATAATCGAAATCGACGAGTAAATTAATTGAGACTATTTTAAATATTATTAAAATAAGTAATAAAATAAAATCACCAATAATAATTATTTTTCTCTAAGTAATCCTTTAAGTTAAATGAATTTTAAATTTTTGAGAAAAAATATTTTATAATAATTTTACAAACAGTTACAGAATTGATGAATGTATAATAGTAAGGGTGAAGTATGCATGGAGTTAAATTGACTTTGAGTGGTCCAGATTTTCTACAAAAATTTCGATTAAGTAGTTTAGCACACTTTTTACCTAGTTTTTTTTCTTTATTTTGATGTAATCTTTTATTCTTTTAGAATCACGTATTGCTGTAGGTATTTCGAAGTTTTGAGCTATACTAATTAGTACCTCAGTAATGCAGTCTTTAAAGCAAAACTCATTTCATTCATTTTTCCTTCTTTTCGAAAGCACACAACGATAAAAGAAGAAAAACAATATTGGAGCAATTAGGAATCACTCATTTTTGACCTTTTTCCAACAGCTGGGGCATGGATGCTCTGAAAAAATATACCTTGGCGAAAGTTCTCGAAGTACAGTACATTGATGCATTTTTTTTCTTTGTTTCTACGTAGTCCTGGATCATACTGAACTTCTGCGGAAAATTACGAGTTGAGTTAACTTTTTCAGAAATGTTTAGCCGGTGTCTCAGAAAATATTTTAGGCTTAGTTGGACATTCACCACCTGGTACATTTTCTAGCTATGACTCCATCAAAGATGACAGTCGTTCGATCAAAAAACTTCATATATTTATGCTTATAATTGATCGATTTGCTTAAATATTGAGTAAGTGTGCTCTAATTACTATGTATAACTTTGATGACATTGATACCAGTATTTAGGACTTGCCAAAATCATCCCATGATTCTAATCACCTTGGATTACAAATGCTAAACAATTTTAGTGTTTTTAAACTGTTTATCACACATAAATTCGAATTAATTTTGATAAAAAAAAATAAAGATTGAAAAAAATGATATTTTTTAACAACCAGATCCTTTTTATAGACTATTACTTGTAAGGCAAATATCAGTGCATTAAAATACAGATCATTAATAAACTCAATTATATTTAACACTGGCTTGATAACCAATCCCTGAGAAATGAGAAAAAGATACAAACTTTCCATATTTCAGTACAGAACAACACTACGAAATCATGGACAAAACTGAAAGACTTTTATCAACTATCGACTACTAACAACCAACTAACAACTCTTTTTAAAACAAAAATAATCTCACATTTTAAATTTATTCATGCTCTTGTTGATGGCTTTACGTTACTAGATAAAGTAATGCACGTTTTTAGCAATTCATTCCATAAAAGTAACGATTTACTGTATTTACATAATATCGTTTTTGTCGTTATGATTAAAATTTATCACGATTAAGCGATTTTCTTTGGTACTTCTTGACTTTCAAAGACCGGTAAGACATTTCTCTTCGCATTATCCGTATGAAAACAGCAGAGCATTAATATTGTTTTATTAGGTACGGATTATACTAACTGTTTGTACATTTGTATATTTGGTATTGAGTTAAATTGCAACAATTACCATAGTACCTAAAGTGCCGATTACCAAAATTAACAAAGCACCATTGGTGTCAAAAATATTATGTCATATTTTATTTTCCTCTTGAACGAATTAATATCATTTTTCCAATAATTTTTCTTTTCCGTATTTTTTTTATATTAGTAGCTCATGTTTTAATGAGTAACTATTACCAAAATTATTCAAACTTCATTGACAAAAATAATAGTATAGTGATCCTTTTACTTTTCTTCTAAATGAGTTATTACCATTTCCCCATTCATTTCGCATTTTAGTGCAGTTTACTTCACTACTGGCCATTAAAATTGCTACACCACGAAGGAATGCCAATAACAGAATGATATTTATTGGGCATATACATTATAGTTGGAAAAACAAGTTATTAAAATTTCAGGATATTTGGATGTATAGATCCTGAGGAATCAATATTCAGAGCTGCCTCCCCTGGCAGAAATAGAATCAATTATTCTCCTGGGTATCGAGTCGAACAAAGATTTGACATCATGGACAGGAATAGCATTCCAGGCAGCTTCCCAATTCATCGACAGTAGTGACTGATGAGTGGGGGCGTGTCAATCGTTCGGCAGCTATTTACCAGACGTTTTCAATTGGTGAGAGAACAAGAGAACGTGCTGGGAAGGGCAACGGGCGAACATGCTCTGTGTCAAGGAGGGTCAGGACAATGTGGTCAACACGTGGTCGTGCCTTGTCCTGCCGAAACGTAGCGTTCTGGAGGATTCGAAGATAAGGCAGAGCAACTGGCGCTAACACGTCCGAAATGTAACGGCTCCTGTTCAAAGTGCAGGCAATGCAAACAAGAGGTGATCTAGACGTGTATCCCATGGTACCCCATACCATTACTCCAGGTGATGGGCCAGAATGGCGATGCCGAATGCAAGCTGAAAATGGTAGTTGTCGCCAAAGACTGATACGGCCATCATGATAGTGTATACCGAACCTGGATTCGTTTGAAAAGATGACGTCCCGATATCCCTGCATCCAGGTTCGTCATTGATCACACCATTGGAGGCGCTCCTGTCTCTGATGCAGTGGCAAGGGTAGCCGAAGCCATGGTCGACGTGCTGACAGTCCATGCTGCTGCAAACGTCGTCAAACTGTTCGTGCAGACGCTTGTTGTCTTTCGAATGACCCCATTTGTTGACTGAGGTTTCGTGACGTAGCTGTACGATCCCTTAAGACCATGTGGATAACATGACTGTCTTCTTGACTGTTAGTCATGGAGGGCAGCCGAGACATCACTGTCTCTATTTTGAAAATCGTCTGAAAGTTTCAATCATACTTCAGAGCTATCTCTAAGCCAATGAAAATATTCTATTTTATAAATGTCCATCTTGAACGATTTAATTGAAATATTTGAAGGATTTCTAGGATCTGAGGCTAAAATTGCTCTTTCAACAACTGTCCAAGTCTCAGAAGGATAGAAAAAAAGGTTCCGGATAAAAGATACACACACGCACAAACTCTTAGTTTTATAATTATAGGCGTAGACGTCGTTCTCTATTGCGTGAGAATCCGTTTCTTTTGTCACCAGACTGTGTAAAGGATTAGGTAGCATATTAAATGGGTAACTGTTGCAAAATATATTTAAACATTGCGATTATCCTTGCATCTAAGCTTTCAGTCTCTTAAAAGGCTCATTTTTATTTTATAATTTTATAACCGACGTTGAACAGCCGACCCAATTTTGGGTTTACGACTACTGTTCCACTCCGCTGCTTTGTAATTTTGAACCCAAGCCAGAAGACAAGGAAACTCATGGATCAGTACCGCAGGGGCATGATTTGTTATAGGAACATGGAGGGCATTGTGACTCGATAGATTTAACGAGCACCTGTCACCATTTACTACACGGGGAGTTTTTAGCCGACAATGAACAAACCCACGTCTTCTTGGACATAGGCCCAGTGCCCTTCCAACCAGGCTATTCCGACCCTTTAAAATGCTATTTGAGAATAATCAAATTTTCGATAAAAGCACTGTTTTCTAATATTTCCCAGAATATATTTGATATCATGCAGCGATAATGTAATCAGGCAAAACTGTTTTACTTAATACGCTCAACCTTGCCCAATCTAATTGTTATAAGTTTAGTGCAATAGTTTTATCAACTTATTAATTGAACTGATCAAAGAAATGATAAGTTATCGTCTTACTGATTGACAATATGCTTGTTCTTTATATGCTTGTTGTATATTTTTTCTACTCCAGGGGATGTTTGTAATCGCATGATTCCCAGATGTAAAAAAAGAAAAAAAAAGCAATCGCTGTTTTTTGATTCAATACGACAGAGGAAATACGAACTGAAGCTTCAGCAATTTATCTAGCAGATGCAATTCACATATACTTTTTCTATCTGAATGAATCATATTTCTGAGTTGTCGCAGTGTTATGAAAAAGCACAAAAAATATCCCGATCTTACAAATTTTGCTAATTTTCAAAAGAGTATCTCCAATTGGGCAGCTTTATATTCTGATTTACATCCACTTTTTTATAAGCTAAGGAAATATTTTATTGAGGTTGAAATATCTTCTTAAACATAAAAAGGTTAATTCTAAGTACTATTCTTCAATTATTGATTTCACTCACAATATAAACATAGTTTCCACCAATTTTCCTTTGACTTCCTATATAGTTTTTCCCCTCGTATACAACCAACTTTAACACATAAATTAAAACAATAAGCATTTAATAACCAAATATTTATAACATTCTTTTAATTCTTAAATAAATTAATATATAAATAAAATTTATTAATGGTATTTATTAAATGATATTTATTAATGATATTTATAAATTATTTTAATTAAATTGATATTTATTAATTATTTTAAATAAATTAATATATAAATGATTAATAAATTAATAAAATGACTACATCCGAGTTAATAAGAAATGATAACATTAAATATTTAATCTAATTGGATATTATGTTAAAAAATTGTTTTTTTCTAGATTTCGTTTTTTATTAAAACGATATTATTTGGAATTTTAAGTCTAAAAAGCAGTTTGTAATAAACTTTTAGACAACTGTGAATGCTTTTTATGTGTCATGGGGAGCAGAGTCGCGATATTTTTCGATATCCTTCGCACTATTTTTTAACTTATAAATAGAAATTAGGGTATACTAACTAATTTTTTGAGACATCGATCAAATAGGAACATAGACAGCAGCAGTTCTGTATTAAAAATCTGTCATCATTGATAATGTCATAACTGAAAAATGTACCTGGTGATGAATGTCCCCCCAAGTCTAGAATACTTTTAAATACCTCTATCTATATTCTGTGAGGTATTTCTGGAGAAAAAAATTCTTCCTACTTAAGCTTTTCAGCAGAATTGCAGTCACGTCCTTGACTAATAGTAAAAAATAAAAATAAAATGATTTGTTGTTTTCCCCAACTTTAAAATTTTTTTTATATAATTTAAGAAATATTTATGAAATAATCGGTTTAATTTTAAAAAAAAAACACAATTTTTTTAGTATCTCCCAATTATTTACATACTTAACATATGTTTTTAAGAAATACTGCCACAGTTAAAAAAGGGAGTAAAAGGTTAAAAAATAATATTTAAAATAAAAATTAAGCAGAAATATGAAAATTTAAAAATAAATAAAGAAAAACCTAAAAACATGCTTAATTTATTTTTTACACGAAAAATAAAAGGCATAAACAGGGGAAAAAATATCATAAAATCAACCTGTAAAATTTATACTAATAATGTAACACTTAGCAATGTAATGTAACACTTAACACTCAACAAAGTACACTTAACATTAACAATGTATCAATAGTTTTAATAATTTTAAGTATCCACACATATTTATACGCCCAAATGAATATTCTACATCTCAATTTCAGAATATGTGATTATAACACTCTTTTTAAATAAACGCATGCACAAACACTTTTTAAAGCACATCTGCATAACTATCATAGTCAGATTTCATTATACACTTACATCTAATAATAATAATAATTCTCCGAGGAATAATACTCCAACAGCTATATAAAGGATATACGATAAAGGCAGGATTGATATCTAAAACGAACTTACATTGAACCTTTAGATGTAGGTAATTGCTTGAACCTTGGCCTATCGTATTGGAAGCGAAGCATCTATATTTCCCTCTATGCTCTCTCTTAACATTCTGGAGCTCTAATGTTTGGTTAGTTATCACAATGCCATTAGTTTTATTAGGTACTAGTGATTTGTCTTCGAATTGCCAGGCAACTTCAAATATCCATGGATTTGCCCAAATGCTACACTCCATCGATAATCTCGCACCTTCTTTGATTCCTCCTTTGTTGATGTTAGATCCATAAGTAAGGTTTACTAGTGGTGCAACTGTAATATATGAAATATACATGATTTAAGGAAGGAATAAATATGGTAAGTCTTATTACAGTGCAATAAAGTAAATAGGGCAGTGCTATTAAGTCATGATCAGATTGAGATTTTGAATTACTAGAATCTTGTTCTTTAAATTACAGGAGTGAGAAAATTACCGATTTTCGGTTTCTATTGCCAATATGTCTTGCATACTGATGGCTTAAACTAATTAAGATATGTAGAACAATTTTTTAGACAAAATTAAATTGCAAAATGAATAAACAGTGCTGTTACATCTTGGTCAGAGTACGATTCCTACAATAAATCATGGCATTTTTTTTTTAAATATTTCTATTGAATTATTAATGGGATAAATAAGATGTGTTAACAGTTTTCAAAACGAATTACATAATAATAAATAAAAGTGAGTAATCAGATACAAGTAAGTAATCAGATACAAATCTGATATTAGATCAATTTAGATACCAAAATATTAAAAATATCATTGACAATTTCTCTAAAAAAAGGGCATAAAAATAATTGGGATTGTTATACTAGTCAAAAACAAAACATTTGATATAAATTATTTACCACTCAGTTTCGAATATTAATTTATATTCTGTACAATACCGTAAAAATGAAATAGCAAAAAATTCTTGAATTTTTCTTACGTTTTTCAAGAAATATATTTTTACAACTTAAACAATAAAGGAGAAAAAAAGGCAGTAACACCAAGCTTAATATTTGCACTTATCTACTTAAAAGATTTAAAGCAAACCTTCATTCTCTGATTCACTTGATAGATGTTCTTCACTTGATAGAAGTTCATACATTATAATCCTAAATAAAAGTATTAAAAATCATTTCGAACCATAAAATTTCACCCTTTAACAGTTAAAGGAGGAATTTCATGATTCAAAATGATTTGTAATACTTTTATTCCCATCAAAGTTTTTATCTTGGGAACACAACACCAGTAGCCGATAATAAAAGTTAATTTGATTCAATCACAACCATCCTGCTTTCAAATAAATTTTTTTTAACCATTCATGTATTACTGTCAGATTGCGCAGATTTCATACTTTCATAAAATATCATATTAGTTTGAAGTTCATTAAGTGTTATTAAGTATATATTTTTACTAAGCAAATATTGCTAAATATGCTCTTCTTTCAAGTTAAACAAAATATTGTTACTTATTGATTTTTGATTTCAACAGTCCTAAAAACGTGATAAAAAAAATTATTCAAAGAATACAAATAAATTCCAATTAATTTATTATATTATTTTAATGAAAGATATAAAAAAGCAGTTATGAAGTTTAAAAAAAAAATCAAATCATTTTCCTCTGTATTTTCTCTTGATCTTAAAAAAGGCAAATCTTTTTTTATTTGATGACTGCCTCTTTCCTGTTTCTGCAAAGTCAGCAAATTTAAAGAACTTATATTGCTTTTTTAAGCTTTTTTCCTTCATAAAATGTGAAAACTAGTTTCATTTTGATGTCTATTCTTAAAAAAGGAAGCATTTCTAATACAAATTTTTATACATACCAAGAGGAAAAATGTATTCAACCATTAATAAACTGAGCTTTCAAATATTATTTAGGTGTATGGACAAAGTCAATTCATTTCTCTTTTTTTTTTCTTTGCATGATGTTTAAATTGATGCAGAAATAACTAACGCTTCCGTTTCCCACAAACGTGGAGTTTTCTTTACCTTCTTAACGACTCTTTGCTAAGCTTCAAAACAATAATAAGCTATTCATGTTAATACTTTGGAATTTCTAGTTGGGCCAGGATAACCTAGTTTTTATTTAATTTTATAACCATCGTTGAACAGCCAATAAAATTTTGTGCTTACGACGACTATTGAACTGCCTTGGAATTTTGAACCCAATCCAGAAGACAAGGGAACTGCTGGACCAAGTAATGAGAGAAATTTGCGTTCATGGAGGAGCTTTTTGATGGAATTAATCAGCATTTGCATTACATGGAAAGGAAACCTCCGAAAACCTCCCACGGATAGCCGCCTGATGGCAAAAGGTCTGCAAGCCATGATCACTGATGATATTTCACGTCAGCTGTGTGGTCAGCGCATGCCGGGCACGGAATACGCATCGACCAGCCATTGCTGACATTCGAAACAAGGTAACCTCATAAGAAGGCGAACGATCTATCCTCTTAGCCACCACGTCTCCGCGTAGCTTGGTCGGTAGGACGTTTAAATTGTGATTGTGAGAACGAGAGTTCGAATCCTAACGGCCGAAGAATAACCATGTATTAAACGGTGGCTGACGCACGTTAAATCTGACAAGATCACAAAGTCCTCCAAGTTCCCTTACAAATCAAAACCTCTGGGGGTACTGATCCAGGAGTTTCCTTGTCTTCCGGATTGGGTCCAAAATGACAAGGCTACGGAGTTAAACATTAGTAGTCGTAAACCCTAAATTGGGTAGGCTGTTAAACGTCGGTCATGAAATAAAATATTAGTAGTATAAGCCGCAGTGGGTGGGGGGATAGAGCACTCGCTCTCCAGATAGGTGATCCAGGTTCGAATCCCAGAGGTGGCTTTTCGAAACGAATTCGGCATTTGACTCGCACCGATCACAGTGCTGATGTAAAATATGCTCAGTGGTAGACGGATGCCGTCGAGTTAGCCGTTGAAGTTTTTTGTGGTTTTCCTCTCTTTGTNAGGTCAAGTTATCTGGAATGTCAATTTATCCGAGGGTATTGCGTTTTTTAAATGAATCAAATATGACGTTTGCCAGTTCCACAATCAAGTCTATGATTTACAGAGGTTTCTGCACAGAAATCTGAAATGGGTTTTCCATTTAGGTGGATGTTCATAATTGCGTTTAACGCTTACGTAATGTGTTTTTTTGTAAGTTCATTGCTGAAAAGTCCCTTTCAACTGCTGCAGTACTCCCAGACGGAAAAAACATCAATCCACCATGCGCAGTATGTTGCTGTACGGGATTTGTATATTAGAGGATCATTTTAGAAGTGAGGAGCTAGACTCTTGTATAAATAACAAAAATTGAAAATGTATCACGATCATTAACGGGAAAATAGCCGTCCGCGCGGACGTCGGATTCGAGAAATTCGTTGTCCGCGGGAAAGTTTTGACATCCGAGGACGTGCGTACGGGCGGTTTTTCGAGCCCAGGTCCTCCAAGTTCCCCCAACAAACCAAAACCACTGGGGGTACAGAATTGAAGACTGATCGTTCACTGGTTTGGGTCAAAATTACGATCTGTGGATTAATGAATGGATGCAAGAATGGGCTCGACTTCTAAAACGGATAGTAGCGTGTGTGTGTGGATAAAGTTGCTTTCTTGGCCATAGATGACGTTACTGATAAGCAGGAAAAGTACCATCTACCTTAAACTTCACTTAGTTTTCCAAGCAAGCTTTCCGGCATGGCAAGCAGGCAATAGAACAACAACAACATTTCCAGGTTCAGTCAAATAGTAGTCATAAATTGTTTAAACTACAAGCGGAACACTATAATACTAAAATACTTTTAATGTACAAAACTGATGTACAAGAATTAATCAAAATAATGAAAAAAGCTATGAAAACAATATTTTTTTTAGCAACAAATGTTTTAAAGATCTTGCATGCCCTAACTGTTGACATAATCTGAATGATCATGCTTGCAAGCTTATAAAAATGGTGTCCAGAAATTTTGAAATCATCTTTTAGGATTGCAATATTTATGTTAAATTTTTTCTTCTTTTAATTATAGTGCTATCGAAGAATTAAATCAACTTTTAACTGTCCTATTCTCCTTTTGGTCCACGCAAAACTTGCATGGTTAAAAATGTCACCATTTCTATAGTTTCAAGCATGATCTTTCAAATTGAACCAACAGCTTCGCTATATAAATCTTCCAAGGTATTTGGTGTCAAAAGAAAAATTGTTTACATAGAGTTAGTATAGAATAGTTTTCGTTACTTTTCGCTCGTATGGTTGCTATTTGCCTTTAAAAATGGGGTCCTGTAATTTATGCTTTACTTTTATTAAAAAAAAAAGATTAATTTTCCTTTTCATTAAAAAAAAGGAACTTTTCGGCTGACCAAGCAAAGAACTAACGCAAGTAATATATAAACACATAGCAGAAAATAAATTTTTTTCCGTGCTTTAAATGCAAATTTTCAAATAATAAAAATTGAACTAAGTTAAATGAGAAGTCAATGATAAATTGCTGAAAACATTTTTAGAATCAAAAACAAAGTTGCAGTTGCAAGAAGAAGAAAAAAACAGCTAAAGTAAGTTTACCAGATTAATGAAGAAATTTTTCTGAAAATTAGAAGCTACGCCGACATTCTATAATTATGCGGATAGTTGTAAATTACTCAGTTTACCGGCCTTATCTTTGTGCATCTTGATGAACTTCATTTATAAATTATTTAATATGCAAATGTATATTATATTAAAATGTTATTTAAATTTGTTTAGATCATTACAAATTCGTGGTGAGAAAAATTTAGTTTATCTGCGTAAATAATATGATTTAAAAATGTTTTTACACCGTTAATGTATTTGTAAAACCTCATTAAATCCCCATGGAAAAGGTTACCACACAATGAAAGTAAACGTAATCCATAAAACTTATTAGATTCTTAAATAGTACAAATATGCAAATCCATTTAATAAAAGAAGCTTGTAACTTGCATTAAATGCTTGTAATGCTTGGCGTTCTCTGAGCAGCTATTTAACTCCTTCCCGAGTCATCGATGTTAGTATAATACTTTTATTATTTAAAGTACATAATCATATGCATATTTATGCTTGTGTGTGTTTAGATTTAACTGTTTATCAACTTACGCAGAAGTATTTATCTTTTTCACACATGCATATGGTACGATCTTCATTTTATTGTTTAGTTGGGAATTAGATAAATATATAAAAGTATTAAGTGAGTTAAAGCATGTAATTCTGTATAAACATTGCATATGTCGATAAATTTATAAATATTATTTTCTATTCATACTATTTTATTTTAAATAAGAGA